AATACGTTTTTTAAAAAAAGAAAAAGAAAATGCCTTGTTACAAGATTAAAAACAAGCAGTAGCAGAACAAAGAGAAGTTAGTAACAGAATGAAATCAATTGGAATATACATTAAAATGTTTTTGAAACAATGGACAGGTAATTTGGGGGCATATTTTCACTTCTCCTTGTTTCCTTATTATCTGTTTTGCTCTTAATTTGTGTGCATAAGAAATGTGCATTTCTCACAAAATAAACCATGAAATATTTAATCTTGAATGTCTTATTTTACTTAACATTACATTCTCAAATTAGATTTGTTGTGGTTTGTGTCTAGCTGTTCCCCCAAAGCCTCATATAAGTTATGGGGCAGACATGGCAGGAAGAGCAATGAGTGGCTTGAGGGGTGGGGCCAGAGGACCAGGGCAACAGCTCGAGGGGTGGGTCAGGGAGGGGGAGAACTGTTAAATTGGCCAGCCTGTGCTTTCTCGGAGATGTGGACAGGGTCATCCTGGACATGGCAGCGCCCCAGCCTCTCCTTCAGTGTCTTGAAACCTCCAGTAACTGTGAGCTAACTAAACCTTTCTTTCCCTCATTTTGAGTGTCGGGTATTTGTCCCAGCAACAACAGAAGAGTAACTAATACATCGATTCTTTTGCCTATGAATACCTTGTTTATCTTTCTTTTTGGCCAAGCAATAATTCATTGTGTATAAATATCACATTTTCCTATCTATCCATCTGTCTATTGGATATATATGCTGTTTCTAAGATAAAGTTATTCATAAATTGTGCTGCTATAAGCACAGGCATCCATGTGTCCTTGTAATATGCTGATTTTAACTCTTTTGGGAAGGTACCTAAAAGGCAGATAGCAGACTCAAAAGGAATTTCTACTGTTAGTTTTTTGAAAAATCTCGTTTATTTCCATGGTGGTTGCACTAGTTTTTATTCTCACTAAAAATGGCAGAGTTCCTCTTCCCCCATATCCTTGACAGCATTTGTCATTAGTAGGTTTTATGATATGATCCCATTTGCTGATCGTAGGTATTATTTCATGGGCCACTGGAGTTCCATTAAAAATATCTTTGCCTGCCAGCAAGATGGCTAAGCAGACTAAACACTTGCTTAGGCAAGTGCACGGACCAGGGTTCAATCTCCTGCACCACATGCCCCGCAGGCCCCACCCCCAGCATGCTGGGCTGGCTACCAAGACCCAGCATGATGATAGTGCATGCCAGTAATCCCAGTGCTGGGGAGGCTGAAAACAGGAGGAGCACTATGACTCTGAACTGCATAGTGAGCTCCTATACCTGTACCAAACACATTTAAAAAAAATCTTTGCCTAAGTCTATGTGATCAAAAGTAGTAAATATTTTTATCTCCCAACAGATTAAGTGTTTCTGTTTTAATATGTAGATCTTCGACTCATTTTGATTTTAGGTAATACCCATATCTCTCACCATATACTAAGCTAAAATTTTCTTTGAATCCCAGACAGATAAATGGAGTTATTAATACATCCACTTGAATATCAAGATGGAATCCCACGTTCAATGTCAAAAATAAACTACTATGTTAAGGTAAAGACAATGGTATTTTTCTTTTTTCCCATAATTATATTGAGAAATAAATAGCAATGAGACAGTTTCAAATCAAATTGGTAGGACAGTTCCAATAATTAACACAATGCATACTCGCGTCCTAGTGGCTATTTGCTGTACGAGATGCAGACATGACATCCTATTTAAAAACACAATTACAACAAATACCTCCATTCATTAAGAGAATGTAACTATATATCTATCCTAACCATTTTGAATACACAGATACAAAATAGACATTCATCTGTATTCCCTTTTTTGTTTAGTTCTGTCATTTGAATACTATAGGTGTGTTAACTCAGCAAAATATTCTCAAAGAGTCTAGTAATCCATAATGGTATTGGATCTTCTGCTTGACTGGCAATGTCAGAAATTGTTGACCTGAGTCCCCTACAGCTCAACATAACAACATGGCTTTACTTCTTATACTTCATTTTTATACATTTCTTCTGGTTGGTTAAGATGAAGATAAAGCAAGACCTATGCAACACAGAATAGAAGACATAGAAGAAATAGACAGATTCCTAGAAAGGTACACATTACCACAACTGAGTCAACAAGATATAACCACTCTCAATAGCCCAATAACAGCCAATGAAATACGAGATGTAATTAAAAACCTACCGGCAAAGAAAAGTCCAGGTCCAGATGGATTCACAGCTGAATTTTACAAGACATTTACAGAAGATGTAGTCCCTATACTCCTCAAACTATTCCATGAAATTGAAAAGGAAGCAATCCTCCCAAAATCATTCCTGGCATCAAGTATTATACTGATACCAAAATCAGAGAAAGGCACAACAAAGAAAGAGAACTATAGGCCAATCTCCCTCATGAACATAGATGCCAAAATCCTCAATAAAATCCTATCAAATAGAATACAGCAAATCATCAAGAAGATCATACATCTTGACCAGGTAGGATTCATCCCAGGGATGCAAGGATGGTTCAATATTTGAAAATCTATAAATGTAATACACTATATCAATAGAGTGAAAACTAAAATCCATATGATCATCTCAATTGATGCTGAAGAGGCTTTAATAAAGTCTAACACTCATTCATGTTCAAAGTCCTACAGAAAATTGGAATAGATGGCCTCTACTTCAATGTGGTAAAAGCTATTTATGAAAACCCAATGGCTAACGTAATTCTAAATGGGGAAAAACTGAAATCTTTTACTCTTAGATCTGTTACAAGACAAGGATGTCCTCTATCACCACTCCTAATCAATATAGTTCTGGAATCATTAGCTACAGCCGCTAGACAAGAGAAAGAAATAAAAGTAATAAGGATAGGTAAAGAAGAACTTAAATTATTATTTGCAGATGATATGATACTTGGAAGACCCAAAAAACTCCATCAAGAAGCTACTAGAATTAATACAGAAATTCAGTAGCATAGCAGGAAACACTATTTTTCTACTTGCTCACACACAGAACTTTGGAGTCATTTCTGATTCTTTATCTCATGAACACATCCATCAGTCGGGAGCTACCACTGGAACTCCTTCAGCCATGTCCAGAGTCCAATCACTTTTCATCATACCCAAATCATTACCTTTCCTTGAATTATGGCAGTAGCTTTTTATTTTTGCCCTTTTTTTCTTTATACTTGACAATATAGCTAAAATGTGAGATCATTATCTTTCTAGCTCAAAATCCTGTAAAAGCCTAATATATCACCAAAAAGGAAAAAGTCTACATCAAGGTGTTATATTATCTGGCCCCCATAACTTATCTGGTTTTATATCTTACCATTCTATGCTCATTTGATGTGAGTTCCCTACATGAGCAGCATCTAGCTGCTTCTGATATATTTTAGGTATTCCCCTGCCTCAAGGCCTTTGTAAGTTTTATTCCTTCTATCTCAGCTCTTTACCTTTAAATACCTATTTCTTCACTCCACTCAGGATTTTTTTCAAATATACTACTTTCTTGTACTCTTACTCCTTTACTTTTCCTAGTATCACTTGTCAAAACTAAGCTACAAATATTATGTGTTTACTTTACTTATTGGTTATCTCAAAGAATATAAACTCCAAGATAAGTCTGTTACTTACTGCTGGAAATGCAAGTAACACACTGCCCAACACAGACTAGAATCTCAACACATGTTGAGAGACACCATGAGGGCTCTCCTGTGCAGGAAGTATAACAGTGGGAATCAGCTAAAATTCACCTTCCTCTCAGGATGTTCCGCTCATGGGCCCCTCCAGAAAAATTGCTGTGTATCATTGGTTTGTCTCCTTTCTAACTTCAAGGTGATGCCAAGGTTTAAAATACCACCAGAAGGAGGGGCTGGAGATCAATGGGGACAGAAATTTGTTATCAAGTCAAGCACAGGTTGGTCAAAATAATTTAAAAGTCTAAATCTATTTTACTAGCACAAGAGTTTCTGTTTATTATGTTACATATACAATTCCTGCACAAAGAGGGTCATATAGTAATTAAATAGCATCAGTTTTATCAGGCCTATGGGCAAGTATATCAATTTAAAGGGCAGGATTGCGCCCCCTTTGGCAGCACATGTACTGAAGGAGAGGACTGTGCTGGCCAACATGCAGATACCATAGGAAGGGATTCTGACTGCCAGTAGCAAAATTAATCACTTGAAGTTCTTACTGAAACATAATGTTTCAGTAAGAATCCTTTAAACATTTGTTTGCTTAAATATAACTTACTGATTCTCATGAGTCTACTGGCATTTTAATTATACCATTCCTCCCAAATTATGATCAGGAGCCAATAATGACATGGGTGGGCAGGGTGGAAGAAGGTACAACAGCTTCTACAGGACAAAATTTCAATCCTACATAATGCACACCAAAAGAGTCATGATGTAATTGTCTTGAGAGTGATACAAATGAGATGACAAGGACAGATTGTAGAGCTTAAAATTATCCCCTTAAAATTCGGGGAAGTTCATTTCCTTTTCAACAAAGTTTAACAAGAAAACTTCTTATATAAACTTTTGTTTGCTATGAAGAATGGGAACACTATGCTTAATTTACAAAGACAAAACCAAGAACCAAACTGTTTTAAAACTACTTGGGATCACAGGGAGTAGCAGTTCAATAAGGAATAAAATATTGGTAGGTATTCTTAGTCCATCCAAAAGAATAAAACCACTTGATACCTCCACTTATCCCATTAACTCTCCAGGAGAAACATAATGATAATGTTAACAGTCTTGAAAATGATTCAAGAAAACAGACACTGTTAAAATAGCCAAAATAAAAAGGTAGTATGCATTTCTTACATTTAAAATTAAAAGTGACGGAAGATAAATCTTAGTGTACATTAAAAATACAGAAGAAACATTATGTCTTAGTGTTTGCATTCAGTTAGTGAACTAGTGGGGTAGTAGGTGCCCTTGACAAGGTCAAGGGTTTGCATTTTGCAGCTCTTCACATTTACCTCCGTTCTCCTCTCCACTGACGTTTGCCTCAGCCATCTCTGTGCCATCTGGTTCAGATTCACAAGCTAAATCCAACTCTCCATCCGCTGGGCATGACTCTTCTTTCTGTATTATTTTTTTAAATGATGATTTATGGAGATGTGTTAGCAGCAGAAGTCATTTAAAATACTTTTAGTACCCTAAAACATTATTGCAGTTATATGCAATTTGGAATTGGAAAACAGATTACAGATTTGTTTTTCAGTGTCAAATCACTCCTTAGAATGAAAAAAAAAAAAAAAAAAAAAAAAAAAAAAAAAAAAAACAGCTCTAGTCGTGGTTAGCATGTCTGGACAAATCGTTCCCCCAAATAAAGCAGAAATAAATTTTCTTT